TTGTTAATGGTACGTATAGATATAAATTTAATTCCTATTAATATTCATTTAAAAAAATAAAAATGTATTTTTGTATGCTTCAAAAATTGAAAGTTAATAATTTATTGTTATCTCAAATTGTAAATATATATATATATTTACGAATATCTTTCAAGATTTTATGAATATACATATATTAATATGTCTCTATGTATATATATGCGTGTAAAAGAGAGAAAGAGAGAGAGAGAGGGAAAAATGCTGCTTTTAAAAAATGTATTTGAATAAAAAAATTATTTTAACTTTCGGAAAAAATGACGATATTTGTGAAATATGTCGCGAACATGGTAAAACATGTTTTGAAACATGGTATATATATAAAAGTTTAAAACATATTAAAAAATATATATAATCGATCGCTACACCGTTTGTACAGCCTTATGCATGTATTGCTAGTAAGATATCTCCGCATACGATTGTACTATTTTATTCATATCTTTATGCCTTCCATCGCACCGATATTCACTAGTACATCGCTGCTGACATAGCCATTTCACTGAATGAAACATCGCATCAACAAAGCTTCCGGAATCGGTAACGTCGGATCATAACACATAATACATAATGCAGTATAGGATTTCATTAAAAGTCACAATCGCCATAGCGCAAAGAAATAAAAAGAAACACGCTTTCATAATGTATATTAACTCTATACAATGTGAACAATAAAAAATAAAATATATTTTCTTCTATTATTATATGAATAAAAACGACAAAAACGAGAAAATATAAATGTCTTAAAAAATATCGCGATAAAATAAATTCTGCAATATAATTAATCTTTTTCATTTAAAAGAGAATTATTGAATTTTGTCATATATTTTTATTACAACATTTTAATATGTTACCATCTGTTTTTTTTTATTAAAAAATATCAATTTTTATCATTATTTTATCATCTATATTTTATCATCTGATAGTAGTATATAATTAGATATGCCAATGTTGGCATATCTAATTATCAACATGATCTCTGATGTATCCATATTCCACTACTATCACAGATGATAAAATAATGATAAAAATTGATATTTTTTAATAAAAAAAACGGACGGTAACATATTGAAATGTTTATCGTATATGTTATATCTTTGTCATTTACATGATATCGTTATCTAGCAAATTCTTGTCGGCCCATTTCATTTTCAATCATTTTCACTCTCTCGTCGATTATGTTACCGCGATCGAAGTTCATTGATTAACAGAACATCCTATCAAAGCTATCAGCATAGAATCAACATAAAATCTATTGTATTATATCGCAAAGTAGGATAGCTTTGTTCGTACTATTGTCCCAGATTTAGTGTTAAATAATTAGATTTGTATAGTTAATACGTTCTATAAGAGCATTTCGATTATTAACTAAAGTTTTAATATTATAATTTAATAATGAAAACTGTTCCTCAAGTATACGTTGATAACAGGAGCGTTTATTACGCTTTAATATAGAACACTTGAAATAAATTCAGCGCATATTTACAAAATGCGCATTGACAATAATGAAATAAAATTTAATATTGTTTTAAGCAACATTTACGAGTATGATAAGTTGCAACATGTTTTCAATTTGTACATATATTATGCTGCTTTTTGCACATGTGCATAAGTTACATAAAATCTAATAATATTTATAAATGTAATGGTTACGTTTGTCAAATAAGAATAAAACAAATAATAAATATTTGCATATCTATATATCATTTTATGATATTTATTGGATATCGAAGCAGTTGTTTTAATAAATTTTAATGTTCATATTTAATAGATATACATGTCACCCTGGCATTTGTTTAGAGAATATTATTCTGAAATACTTGACATGCTTGTAATATTTAATATTATTTCCGACATGAAAATCATTAATGTAATAATGATGATAAATAATAAATTATTGAATGACAGTGCAGAAATTTCTCTACAAAGCACTGAGAGTGTGAAAATTGATCTTGGTTTCATCACGGATGCCGATTGCACGATACAGTTGGCAATAACATGTACAATTACATGCTCATATAGATACGAACATGTTATCAAGTATATATTTTACATCTCTCTGCTTAATAACAGTATACTGCGCAATAATGTTATGAGGTAGATGTACTGAAAAACAACTATTTTTTGCTTTTATAGGACATAAAAAAAATTAATATCTTGATTTATTACTTCATTTAGAAATAAGCGTGTAATAAAAATGTTGTTCATGTTTATGACGCGGTTTGTCTTCATACAAAGAAAGAATAAAAAGGCAATCTTTTTAGTTGCGACAAGATACATTGAAAGCAGTATCTATGTCTTTTTTAAAGTTGAAGGCAAGCACACACCGTAAGATTTAGTTAGGCGAAGTCCCTGCGCGATTCTTTTTTTATGTTCGTGAATCTTTCAGCAGTTTCTGAGAACATTAGGGAAAACGACAACGATAACGCACGACTTCCGTTTCTGCGAGCGTCGTCGACCAAATAAAAAGCAGCGAGACGACGAAGACGAAGAAAGGCGAGTTATTTCGCCATCGAAAGTTGGAGCTAAGATACACTATAAACAACATAACAAAGTTACATTGTAATCCGGAAAGATTTCATATTGGCATAACTGCTACGTCGAAAATTCAATCTTTTCATTACTACAATTCATGACTCGCCCTCTCCGTAAACTTTCAGTCGTAATAAATATTTGTCAGCTCCGCCGAAAATCGACACAATTGCTGCTTTCTACCTTTTATGATTTTACGCAAAATTAATTACGTTAACCACGATGTGACATGTGACAGTTTTCAACAGCAATAAATAAAAAATCGTGAAAGAGAACATAAAATGATATACACTACATGTTATTCGAAATTATTACATATTATCTATTTTGTATTTGAATTTGATATGAAACAGAATTTTGTGAAATTTTTACATCTAATGCAAAATTTTTATACTTTATAATTTTATTCTTGAATTTTTCCAATTGTATAAAAACTCTTCTATAAATTCTGTGAAATCTAATCTATATATTCTATAAAATCTTTAAGCATATTTCAGAGATGGATCATTGGATTCTTATAAAGTTATTTGATTCTGAAAGTCTTATTGTTGGATCGTGAAGTTTCCTAAACTTGATATTCTTCAATTGTAAAATTTTTCAATTTCTAGATTTTTGATTCATGAAAATATGGAAACTAACCGAAGTTCTTGGTTTAAAAATAACTTTCTAATTTTTTTAATCATATTTTTTAAATGCCAATAAAACAATAATAGACATTTATTATTGCTTTGAACTCTATTCGTCTTTCACTCGCTCGTACAATCAATAAGATTAAAAATCAGCATAAAATTATTCGTTTTCGTTTATGAATGTAGCATCGTAGAAACAATCGTTTATTTTGAGTTTTGTGCTAGATTATACTAGACTAGAAGACTAGAGAGAAGAATAAATGAGGAGGAGAACGGAAAGGAAGAGAAAGAGGAACGATACGGAACGGAAGGGTAGAAAGCGTAAGAGCTTCAGCGTGTTCGATAAGCGGCTTGGGGGAAACATGTCGACGAACCAAGTCCTTTTCAACTTCTTCCCACCCTTATTCTCCCCTTTTTATGCGCTACGAGCGCATCGATGCAGGTGCATCTACTCCGTCTGGAGCGTTTATATCCGGAGACGGGGAAGAAAACTTGGCGCGAAATAAATCGTCTTTTTTTCGCACGTTTTCTCGTCCATAAAATCATAAAACGTGAAGTCGACGGCGAGATCAATTTTACAAATCCGTTCTACAAAAAGCTGTGCACACGAAAGTTTTTGTTGGCTGCAAGTCGAAAAATGGGGTACAAAGTAAATTTGAGAATTGATGAAGGAAAACAAAATTTTGATAGATTTGTCTTCAGAATCGTCGGATAATGGTCGACTGAATAAACAGACGATCAAAGTAAGATAACTTTAATTGAAAACTAATGAGACATATAATAAAATATTATACTCGATAGAAAAATTATCTTGTAATAACAAATAAGGGAATTTGTTTTAAAAAATTATAATAGCAAGCTCTATATAAGTTAATAACAAATATTATGTTATTTGGATGCATTCGTGCATTTTATTCTCTTTATTTTTATAACTAATCGTGAAATATATTATTTAGAAAATATGGGAGCGATTTTTAAATACAAATTTGAAAGATTTGACGTAGAATTTTTTGCAATTCCAATTGCCAATTTTCGAATCGAAACGTATCCTAAAAGCAATAATTCACGTTCTAAAATTCGCACGAATGATCAAGCTTCGCCGGCGGATGGAATATCGAATCTCGCCGCTGTGACATATATATTCTTGACTCAGCATTTTTTTTAGCCAATACGTGTTTTCGTCGGATCGAGCAACGTAAATACATCCGAATTAACCACTAATATATTTTTTGCTTACCCGTGCGTTTGTTAAGCCTCGCCTTATCCCTATTAAAATAAATCCGAACCCATTTCTCGAATTCGTTTGGCCCTAGCTCGCGTACAATTGTGTTGATTTAAAATCCGAATTATGCGATTCACTCCAATAGAAATTCGAAAGAACACTGCTATTTTCTAAACACTAATCTTTTCCGATGAATTTATTTTTAATTTATTTTTTTTTAGCTGTATCATTTTATTCATTATCAAAAGATTAGGCATCAGTAGGTGAAATTGAATCATATATAAAACTAAGTTTGCATAATTCAGAGATATCAAAGTCGAGTTTACTATAATACCGAAACGATGAGAATTTTGCAACGCGACGCGACACGAGAGGATAATCCTGCGATGGAGCACTTAAGCGTTTAAACTTTAACCTCCTCGATCCCGGCTCATGTCGCGAACAATCTTTTCCATGAGACAGCAACCGATCGACGGCCATATCGTCCGCTCCGCCGATCGAGAGGGAGACTCGAAGATAGATCGACGCGAGGTTGCGATTTACGTAACTAGGCCAGATGCGTGAATAATTCAAGTAGCACTTACCGATCACGTTGAGACTATAGTTGAGCGACATCTTCGGCTCGGTGCTGACCTGGCACTCGTAGACACCGGAATCACGCTCCTGCGGCGACTTAATCTGTAGCGTCCAGTTCTCCGACTTTTCCGGATGGATCACCTGAAATCTCAGGTCCGATGTGTACATCAAGGTGCCTGCGCTGAGAATATGCATATCGCGTTTGCGCATCCAAGACACCTGAAATAAATAATAAATTTCGTTTATAATTGTACGTTATTATACATGACAATCGAGTTGACACTTCCACTTATCAAATTATTAATCTAATATGTTCCATTTAATTTTGAAAAAAGATCTAAGTAATTCTTAAACATTATTACTGAATATATAGTAACATTTTATGCATAAATCATTTTTTTCATAAAAATATCTTAGTTTTTGTAAGTTCTCTATACTTTTATGGTAATTTTTATTATATGTGTATGTTATTGGCATACTTTTTGACGGATAATAATAAAATAAAATACTGAAATCACTTTTTAATGAAAAGAATTGAATCTTTTTTTTCTTTATTCACTAAATTTGGAATTATAGACTGATATATAGAAAATATTGTTGATCAAAATTAGTAAATTCATACAAATTTTTAATCTCAGAGAAATTCAAAGAAAGAAAAAAAATGTTTAATATTTAATGCCGAAAGGCCTCCTTGAGAATCGTTGTCAGTGATGTTATAAACGTGGCTCGAGAAGCCTGTAATGACTGATTTCATGTTAAAACAAAGACCATGGAAAGCAACCCAGGGCGCCATAATAAATCCTTGGTCGGTCGACGTGCGTGTCACAAACGATCTCTATATAGTCTCTCATTGTTTTGCGAACATGTCTGTCGGCTATTTAATGCATCGTCAGAAAGTTCCGGGGAATAATTTCTCAGCATGCACGTTGAAAACGGCAGGCGAACATAATTATTTAAGCCTCTCTTTTTCTTTACAAAGAAAAAGAGAGGCTTAAATAAGTTCTTTTCCGAGTTGAATTTTTTCTTATTTCTATTAAATTTATATAATTAAGCAAAAAGTTCTCGTGTAAATAAATGGTATAAATTCACATTTTTTTTTTCAAAAAGAAGGTACAATATTTTTAAGAGAATCATCTACTAATTCATTTTTTTCAATATTTATATAGTTTAAAAAAAAAGAATATCTATAATATTTTCTTCTGTCAATATTAATTAGTAACATCATAATTATAAAATAAATCTAAAAGAGAATAACATTTGTATTATTATATAAGTTTTTATCACAAATAGAACATAACGAAATGTATGCAATTCTGAGGCTGTGATATTTAATTTAAACAGTAAAAAATTCTTATAATCTTCTAATCCGATTTCTTGAAAGATTATCTGTTGAATAGTTGCTGCATGGAAATCAAAAAGGCCAAGTGGCCTGGAAAGCGATTCAATACATCTATTAAATACGGAAGTGAAAGAGCTTGAGAGCTTGATTTAGATAGGCGGCTTAACCGCGCGTATCACACCGTACGATGCACGTGCATGATTGGATGATGCCTTTGCGAACAAACGCCAGGGACTAATTCGCGCAACGTGCTGCTGAATCGGAGGTCAGCCACCAGCAATAGCGATCCGAAGCCGCGAGGTAGTGCCGCATCAAGCGGATTGGTTATATCCTATCTCGTGACGATCATCATCGGTCAACCATGAATTTCATTTTGCAAATTGAGTTTCCTGCCCAAGGTAGCCACTACCATAGGATTGGACGTTCCATGCTAAAAGCATTAATGTACAACAATCGTCAGTACTGTAAAAACAATTGATTTTTGATGAGCCATTGATGGAGATTGATTAGCCTGCCATGTCCGGATCGATGCTGCATTGACGTTGCCAATAGTGTTCCAAGTACGTGCCGAAAGCACTCCCGCGTATTAATCGTTTGAACTCTATTGCATGTCAAATTATCGTTATCATGGTTTTCCACTTTCTTTTGATAAAATTTCAAAATCTTTTTCGATGGAAATTTTATGTATACTTGTTATAGCAAAAATTACCCATTTATGTACGATTTAATACGATTTAATATGATTTATTAATTTATCTCTAAATAAAACGCATTCTCGTTCTTTAATCTTACAGTCAATATAAAAAAAAATTTTTTTATAAATATAATCTGTTTAAATTTTATTTTTTTAACGGTATATTAATAATGAATATAATTATATATAAATATGTATATATATATATATATATATATATATATATATATATACTAATAATAATAAGAGATATTACCCAATAATTACTATAAAAGTATTTAAAATACAAAATATATAAAGATATAGCGAAGTATAAATATATAAGATGTGGTGTGCTCCGATCTTGCATTAATGAGATATTTATCATAATATATATACAATTTTGTTGATATTTGCATTATAGTGAATCATTATATAATAATATTGTCATCCATTAATTGTCATGGTATCGACTAATACATTCACACTATGATTATTAGTGATAGCCGTAGGCACAACACAACAATACATATTACATTTGCGTTGAAAGCAAATGTTCAACAACACAATACATATTACATTTGCGTTGAAAGCAAATGTTCAACAACACAATACATATTACATTTGCGTTGAAAGCAAATGTTCTAATACAATTGTATGAAAATAAATCTTATTTGTGAAATTATAACATTTACCGAATTTATAACATTTTCTGATAAATATAAACAATATTATATATATGATAAAAAAACTTCACATTAATATCTATCGAATAGAATTATTTTACTAAATAAATTTGCACTTTTATTTTAATGCCACATTTTTCTTTTTCTTCTCCTCTCTCCTCTCTTTATTTCTCTCTTTTTTCTCCTTTTGTTTTTTTTCTAGTCTTTCTGAATTTAAATAGTAGTAAATTTTTTTTCTAAATGTTTGTCAATTAAAATTTCGTATAATTTGTATTATTTATCTATAAATTATTTGCATTGTATTCGCGTGTCGATTAAAATAATCTATAAATAATAAATATTGTTCTAGTTATACTGCCGGCGAATTAATGTAAATGCAATTTTCAATCAGATATTATTTTATAATATTTTTGCTTTTGTGTCTAAAATAATAATGTATATATGTCGCCAGAAGCTAATACTAATCTAATATATATTTTGAAACAATATCTTCTTTAGACATAATTTTTACGAATGGTTCTACAAAAAAACAATTATTATATTTGGTACATATATTGCAATAACTATATTTAGTGTATGTAATCTCACTCCTTCTCCTGTTTCGTTAAATATATTTTATTAGAAGATATTTCATATAAACTTAAGCACACCTAGAGGGCTAAGTGATATCGTTTACCTTCTAACATGGCGTGTTCATCATTTTTTCATATCGCGACCCTGAACGCGCAAGATAATCGCGCGATATTTTAGTCGATTATGGGGAAACGAGAGGATACGAGATATAAAGGTGCTCTATGTCGCACATCGTTAGCTACGTAAAACCGGCAAATTCGCCGTATAACGACGCGGCATATATAGCAGTTTACCGCAACGACGGCATCTGCATGCGCTTCATTATTTATGAGGTTGCTGAAATGGCCTGATCGACGCTCATTGGAAATTGACGGATATCGATTTCGTTCGTCACGAGTCCACGCGATGTTACGCGCCGATCCGGATGATGGATGTTCGTTTTCACCAGCAACGCGACGAGATGAAAAACGAGGTATGAGAACATCGAAGACAAGATCCAAACTATCGACAAGAAGTCGCGAGAAGTCCTCAGTCGATATTATGATATACATTTGAATCGATATTTGAGGATTAATGATTGATATATCACAGGCATTATTTTATATCGAAGGAATTGAAAATTTAATTAATGTAAACAGGTATTATTTTCAATTAGATATTGAATGTTTGTGTTGCTTTTTATCAGTGATATATAATTAATCGTAATTTTTTAAGCAGTGAAACTGGTCTTTAAAATTTAATAAATCAGAAATCGACATTTCAAACTCCTAGATAGACTTTAACAATGTTATATTTCGGATTAGAATTAAGACAAATCATTCGCTCTTTGTACGATTATTCGACGTCGCACCCCGGAACGGCTTTCATCCTCTCTAGTCGTTGCGAGGCGACTCTCATGGATTACTTAGACAGTTGTCGGAACAGCGAACGATATTTGGACGTAGTAGCTTTCCGCAAATATCTCGCGCGTAAACAATAGTCACGGTGTTCTGCCGAAAGGGGATTGTTCGCCGGAAACTAATGCTCCAGTCGCCAATCTCAAATTCCGTACGTGTTCGATTTGCATCGGTGCATGCTGGCTGCTTAACACGAAATGCACGTGCAAACGCTTCGAGAAACTTGGACGATTCGCGATGATTTACACTTTATTCGAATATCTGTCTTATATCTATTGTTTACATGAAAAAATCAACGATCCTTCAAATCTATCGATTAATAAATTACAAAAAATATATAATTTTTTCTACATTTATTAGAAAATTTTTAAACTTTTAATTCCTTTCTCTCAATAAAAATTTGAAGACAATTTTAATAAATTTGAACAAACAATTTTAAACAATTTTAATAAATTTTAATAAATTGTAAAAATAATATCTATGTATTTAATTGTAAAAATAATATGTATGTATTTTTCTGTAAAATTTCGAGAAACAAAAATGAAAGAGTTGCCAAGTTACTGACAAAAAATATGAGAATTAAATACGCGTACATTTTTTAATATTTTAACAAGCCATTCTCTGGATAGGATAAAAGTATTTTTTCTTTTTTTCATGACTCTTTTCAGTCTATCCAGAATTTATGTCGCTATTGTCACGCATACGTGCATGCGCCTATCTCGTAGAGCCTTTTTTCAGGCCATACGACTGCCACATTTCCGCAGGTAATCCCTTTCGTTCGCAGATGGAATCCACTCAATAGAAAAACGTCGAAAGCTTTCAACCTTTTGAGATAAGTGCTTGCATTGTGCGTAAACTGTCTTTACAAAGTAACAATTGTAACGGTTAATATTTTGTTAGTTTTCTGCTCGTCACAAAATTGCACTGCAATTAGATTGAAAAATATTAAAATTAGAATATCTTGTTAAAAAATAACTAAATATTATTGGTAAAAAAATAGCAAGTTAAATTATGTGATTTTTCAAGATTATAACATACATTTACACAATTAT